ATCTTCAGTAGAATCTTGCTTGCATGTGAAATCAATGACATTGTTCTGTGGTTTCTACACTCAGTTGGGTCACCTTTCTTTGGAATAGGAACAAATATAGATCACGTGTCTAAAATGTTATCAAACCATTATATACTGACAAAGCCTTCTAAAGATCTATATGGAAAAATTTAGGAAAATGTGTCACTTTATTAGGTTAAGAAAATTAACTCATACATCATGTTGAATATATCTCAAACTCTTAAGGAGTCTTTTCTGCAAAAATTTAGCATGTTATGCTTCTGAGACTAAGTATTATTATCCTTCCAGAAATTTTTTTAGGGATTGAAAAATTAGGAGATAATTAGACTTTCTCAAAACTATTTATAAATAACATCTATTACCCCGTGTCCTGAGAGAATCTTTCTTCCATACCATTTCTGGGACAAAATACCCTAGTTCTCCCACTGGGAAAAGACACTGTAACAGCTATGGAGCATTATAAGCCACAGGACATTGTTATTAAAAAAACCTAAAGCATGTTGTGGTTAAGACATTAATGTATTATATAATAATGTATTTAGGTCAAAATGAGACTGGGAACTGCAGAATCATCAGTAATTATTTTCACTTATTTGACAAACATTAAAAGGGAAACTAATTTCTTTCAGTGCTAGGTACAGATGAGACAAAGAGAAATGAGCAATAACCATTACTGCGAAACAGTCACCACCTCATTAGAAAAGCAGAAAAGAAATGTAAATATTTAAAGTGTAATTTTAAACAAATTCTCCAATAGAACAAACATTGACAATGTGCAAACTAAGGAAATGATATATCAATCAGAGACAAGGCATCTCTACATTCATAACAGCACAGGAAAGAGAAAAGAAAGTCTCTTACTTGTAAGAGACTTCCGTGTAAGACATCTTTGCCTGTCAATAGGCCCTTTGATGGTGTGATCCACCCTCTTTTGTCATTTAGAAAGAAGACATGATGTGGCACTTGGGAAAAGTATTCATTTACTTTTGAGAGTTTCTAGGACCCACCACCATTCCCAAACCCATTTATCCTCTATAACTAGAAAGAATGAAGTATTGTGAGAAATTAAAACAAAATTTTATTTTGATAAAATGAAAGCAAATGACACATGAACAGACTTCTGTAGGAAACACATATTTCATACATTTAAATTGAGGTGATGTGTACGATCCCGGAAGTAAATTGAAGAACTATGGTATAAAACTTGTCTACCATTCACTGGTTATCTTGGGCAAAACACTCAATAACTAAGACTAAATTTTCTCAACTGAAAATAAATATAACAAAAGCCTCATTTTCAAAGGATCAGATGCAGTCATACAAGGAATGTAAAATGTCACAGGGGAATATAGGACATAGACTTTCACCAGGAGTTAAGAAGACAGGCTTCTTATTGGAAACCTTTACATACCATGGATCTCATCATATTCTGAAAAGGATCTGAAGTTCATGCCAAATTCCTGTGGTAAATGATGTCTAAGAACCTTTCCAATTTATGTAGTTAGAGATTAAACAGTGACTGTTAGAGGTGATGTTATTATTGTATGAAGTGGCTTTAATAATGCTCTAAGCCCTTGATTTCTCACTTGAATGGAAGAAATAGTAACTCTTATCCAAACGTTTTCTTTGCTATAGCCAGAGATTTCCTACGTTTAATGGGTGAAATGCTTTAGCCAGCAATATAAGGTGGTCAACTATATATAAGAGGACAACTCCTTGCTGGACAAAGAATTTGAAGTAGAGGAAGAATGTCTCTGCAGAGCAGTCAATGGTGCCTTTCTGTGAGGGGAAATGCAAAGGAATAACAGGATTAGAATTCAAAGAGGCTAAATGCCTACAACTTGAAGAAAAGTGGCTAGAAGTCTTGAATATCATGCCTATCTTCTTGCTGCAGCAATTTTGGGGAGAGACGGTTGTGTAGATGGAATTATATTGGCTTCTCTTGTTTATTTTTGTTGCCCTCCATTCAGA